CCTCTGAAATGGGAAATACGATGGCAGGATGCGTTTCCATCATCCTGCACCACGGGGGGATGGAGGTGGTTCTCGTCGGCGTTGCTGCTCAAATAAAATCACAACTACCTTTATTTCCACAACCCCCAAGGAGCCCTAAACCGTGGTTTGCAACCTCGGATGTCTGGGATCACGTGACAAAATGAGCCCCAAGCCAAACCCTGTTGGCTTGGGGCACCGTGAGAACATCTTCCTAATGTTTAGGAATATTAGTCTAATATTAATAATAGACCCACGAAGGGTCTAATAAAACTTCTTTGGTGGAGTCTTCTCCCCCGTGGAAAAAGAAATACATTTTCCTAGCTAATTATAACGCTGGGATGGAAAACCTCTTGTGATTCAACCTTCTCAACTTCCCCTTTGGACTTGCCATGTGATTACACCAACGGATTACAGAGGTATCGAAGTTTAGTGGGACAATAAATCCTGCTGTTCTTCTCGTGCATGTTTAATCAACAGCTTTGATCAGAAAGCTTTTGTTTCTTCGGAGGCTTTGCTTTACAATTAATCCGGCTACCGGACTGATGTTGTTAATCAACAGATTTGCAAAAAGGCCCAAAGATCTGCTGAACCCACTGATTCACGGGATGCACATCCAATGGGCATGTCTGAAGTTCCCAGAAACCGAGATCCCAAGTGCATCAGGGTGCGTGATAAATTAGCCTGTTTTTTAAAATAAGCATTAATCGCTGTATAAACCTAGTTGGGCAATAAAGGCTGGTTTTTAATTTGGAGTCCAAGATTAATGTGGAAAAAGGACCAATACTGAACTCTGATACCTGTAAGGCAGGGGTCTTCAAACTTGGCCCTTTTATGACTTGTGGGCTTCAACTTCAATTCCTGGCTGAGGAATTCTGGGAGTTGAAGTCCACGAGCCAAGTCTGAAGACCCCCGCGTTAAGGCGTGGTTCGCTTAGCCACGATTGGGAGGCCTGCACGTTCTCCTAAGTCACAAACAATGGTCTTACTGATTCATAGCTTATCAAATCCTTAGTAGGGTTCACTCAACACAATGAAGCATAAACCTTCGTTTATGACCCGTGTTTGCCAGGAACAACCCACGTGGGTGAATCACCAACAAAGACACCACTCTTTGGCTGAGACCCTGATCAACAAGCAAGTGACACTGCGACAAAGCATGACTGTATAATCCTAATCGCAACCTTTAGCTTGGGTGACTGTCTTGGTTGAAGAATTGTGTATGTATGAAGTGTGTGAACTTTGTCGAAGACAATGGGTCGGTTCCTAGGGGAGGCAAAGCCAGACAGAGGGTGCCCCCTCTTACTCCAATCTGTCAATCCAACCGTGTTTTGATAGGATTCTGCAAAGAGCTCAGTCATGGCTTGGCTCCTTCTGTTTTATCAATCCTTTGCTGGGGTTCATGCCCATCATAGTTTCTCCAGCCCACCATGTTTGATCAACTGCCCATTTTGTACAACGGGAAAATGTTGACTGCTTCAACTCAGAGAAAGTCAGCTGCCCGCCGTGATTGCTCAACAGCTGGATTGTACCCCCTTGTCTTTTTCAAGTGTGATGCTTAAAACCCAGGTGCTTTGTTTTGGTTGAAGGTATGGGTTGCAATGTATGGCTGTGAAAGTTGGACCATAAGAAAGGCTGAGCGCCAAAGAATGGAGGCCTTTGAACTCTGGTGCTGGAGAAGACTCCTGCGAGTCCCCTGGACTGCAAGGCGATCCAACCAGTCAGTCCTAGAGGAGATCAACCCCGACTGCTCATTAGAAGGCCAGATCCTGAAGTTGACACTCAAGGATTTCGGCCACCTAATGAGAAGGAAGGACTCATTGGAGAAGAGCCTGATGCTGGGAAAGATGGAGGGCAATAGAAGAAGGGGACGGCAGAGAAGGAGGTGGCTGGATGGAGTCGTTGAAGCAGTAGGTGTGAGCTTCAATGGACTCCAGAAGAGGGTAGAGGACAGGAAGGCCTGGAGGAACGTTGTCCATGGGGTTGCGATGGGTCGGACACGACTTCGCAACTAACAACAACAATGGGTGATACCTTCTCCAAGCTTGACCATGGATGTTGGTCTGGCTCAAAATCCCTGCCTGCCAGGAAACCATCTTGTCCCAGAAAGCTTTTAACTGGTAAGATGCCAAATGGACATTTGGGGCCATTAGCCAAGGTAGGCTTGGCTGATGGCCACGAAATGTAATAGCACTTAATTGGCGTTTGATGGCCCCTATTGTTTCCTGGCTTTTCTATTCTTACCAACAAAAAATGTCCCTGTAGCAGGAAGAGTGGAGAAAGTGCTGGAAAGATTACGTATTACAGGAATGCGGGCTTCAATTTTTTTTTCTTTTCTTGCTTGCTCTATTTTCTGGGACGCCAGAAAGCTTCCATTCCCAGATGGCTGAGAAAGCTGGGAAAAAATGTGGCTTAGAATACCCCACAAAGGTAAATGAAAGCACACGATGGAGAGAAAAAAAAAGGGACATTTTGTAAGAATCACATTAACAATACAGGCTTATATCTTGTTATGCAACCTATTGCTCAGGTTGGGATTTAAAAAGGTAATTAATTCCGATGACTTAGGCGGTGTCCTACTTAGAGGATTTCTAAGCCTCAAACCTAGCAAATGTTGATTTTATTCAATCAACCCCTGTTAAAACAAACCAAGACTGATGCTAGGTATGAATCCATTTTGATATTCTGGGGGATTCTGTTGGTTCTGAGTTACTTGCCCTGCCATGCATGTTATGGTTTTTCTCTCTACTCCTCTGTTTGGATTTTAAAGTCGTGAATAGATGAAAATAAAATGTTGTTTTTTTTGAGCATATGGAGAACTGGAGAGGTTGACCTAGTGGGAAATCCTAAGCCGTCTGTTTCTGCATTTTGAACAATGGGTTGGTTAAAAGAGGCCAATTCTCTTAAGAGAATTCTTGCCAGTTATGTAGAAAAACCAGAAATTCTTTTCTTTAAAAAAAGAAAAACCTTTATACTTCCTTATGTTGTCTTGAGGAAAATACCACAAACCAGGAGAGGTGATGATCGCCCTTTCAACTGGTTTACATAAGCTGAAACTGGTTTGTTCGGTTTCCGTTGCCTAGCAGTATTGGTTCAGGTGTCCAGCTAGGAATGGGGAGGATAGGTTCACATCCTCAGATATCCTGGTATGTAACACTAGGCCAAAAAAACTGTGGTTGGCACAAACCATAGAGGCTGGAATTCACACGCCACGCTAATTATATTGTGGTTAGAATCCCGTGCGTAAACCTTTGCAGCTGGAGGAATTAAAAAGGGCCAATGCAGGAAGAAGCCTACCTAAACATCTGGGGGGGGGGGAGAAATGTGGAATTTCCACTGGTGGAAGTTGCTGAGGTTGAGAAACACTGCTTTAGATTATCTTTTTTTTTTTTTCCAGAAGGGACTCAAGTGTTCTGAAGAGGATTAGTGAAGGGTAAGTGGTGAATTGCTACCAGCACAGGGCTACAAAGCTGAGTAGTGTTTGAAAACTTGTTTTTTGGTTTTTTTTTACCAAACTCTGTTATGGTATACTTCTTATAATCTAATTGTACTCTACCCTCTTATGACAGTAGACTGTGCTGCAAAGCCAGACTTTGTGAACGGCCAAATTCTGACACTGCAGATTGTTCTCTTTTTTTTTTATTCCTATAAAACATCACGGGAGAGAAAGTCCTATTTGGGACCTAAGAAATGTCAGGCCAGGCACGAAAACCACTCTTCGTGGCATTTGTTTCATCTAATTATTTTAGGAGAGAGTTGGCCAGACTAAAAATGTTTTTTTTAAAAAAAAATATCTGTAGGCTCCTTCTTTTTCTCGTTCGGACTACGTGGGGATAAAAGGACCAGAAGTACGAATGTAGCTTCTTGCTTATCCATCGTTTTGACACTACGGTGTTCATTTGTCACGGTGTACGTGGCCGATGGTTGAACAAAGTTCTCAGTTAATGGCCTTTTAGATTTATTTTAATTTGGGGAGCCCCAGGGCTTTATGCTTAACACTATATTAGTTTTCAAAGATAGAAACGTGGAGGTATTATGCCCCCTGCAGGTAGCATAAACACCAGGAAATATATAGGACATCTGGACTATTTTATCTTTCAAATCCAAGTTCCTGGAAAAACAGTCTTCCCTATTGCTCTGTTTTTTAAAGCTTCAGATACTGGGAAACCTCTGTAACAGGATTGGTACGTTTTTGTTGTAGACCTGTTGGTATAGACCAGGGGTAGGCAACCTTGGCTCTTTTATGACTCGTGGACTTCAACTCCCAGAATTCCTGAGCCAGCATGGCTGGCTCAGGAATTCTGGGAGTTGAAGTCCACGAGTCATAAAAGAGCCAAGGTTGCCTACCCCTGGTATAGACGGCCAAATGCAACCAGCATCCATCCACAAATACAAAGTGGTGGCTGAGTGCATTGTATTAAGCCAGAATGACTTTCTTGCTGTGGCTTCAGAGTGTCTCATTCAATAAACTAAGGTTCATTGTATCATCTCTCATAATGCTTGTGTTTGTGATTGCCACCTTGGAGGCTGTCCTGTACACATCAGAATGTGTGTCAGTACAGGCACCACAGCATCATTAGTGTGGCGTAGGAATGCTTAGAAATCCCATTTTAGCGACCAACACATCCCAGCCACACAATTCAAGGGTCTCCTACACTACAGTGTCTACAATTATTCACACTTACTTTGCTACCTGTGCCCCAGCCTTTTTCAACCTGGTCTCCTTCCGTTCCAAGAATTCCTGAGGTAGGATGGCAAAGGCTGTCACCTCTCTCTCCTAGCCCGAATCGTGAAAACACCAACAATTTAGAAAAAAGAAAAAAGACAGAAAAGTTGCTTGGTGTTTATATCAAAATCTATTTGCCAATCTTTTCCTTTAAAAATCCAAGTTAGGGTTTATGCCTAACAGAGTCAGTTCAAGGAACTGCGTAAACGATTTAAAAAAAAAAAAAAAAAGGAGAGACGCTGAGCCGGGTTACATAATCCGGAGCGGGTTTTTTTTTTTTTTTTGGCTTCTAAACCACAAAACAGGGCAAGGCTGGGTTTAGAATCCAAATTTCATTGAATGAGGCTGTCCTGTCCGTTCTGGGTCGCTTGGCTCGGATCGGCGGTCCCCGAAGGAGCGACGGGGGTGTTGGTCTGCAAGAAACGCCGGAAGTCCTTAATCACCGGGTGCATGATCTGGATGAGGGCGTTGAGCGCGGCCTGCATGCCTTCCATGGCTTGGGCCTGGCGTTCCTGCGCGCAGGCCTGCATCTCCTGAGAGTGGCGGATTTTCTGCAGCAGGTCGTTCTGCTGCTCCAGGTGCTGGGCGATCTCTTTGACGTGGAGGTTGGTGACTCGCTGCTCCTGCAGGAGCTTGGCGGAGTTCAGAGCGATCCTGTTTTTCAGCTCCTGGGGCTTGGCTGAGACTTCGGCTTGCTGGGCGATCATCTCCAAGGGGGCTTCGGCGGCGGCGACGGTGGTGGGGGCTTCGGTGGTGCAGTACTCCACCACCCCGTCTTCCAGACTGTGGTAGGTCATCTCTGCTGGAACTAAGAGAAGAAGGAGAAGGTCTTTTTGAGAACCGGGATGTTTGCTACGTGCCTTTCGACAAAGGGCTGACAAAACGCTCGACAGAATTAAATCTGGGAATCGAAGCGTCCTGAAAATTGGGTTTAGAATTAAATCTGGGAATTACAAGGTCCATGGAGATTCTCAGTCATCCAGGTCAGGGGTGTCCCAAAGCTGCTTTTTCAGGAGGCAACTGGACGTCCTTGTATTTTCTTTGAAGGCGTTTCGCTTCTCATGACCTGGAGGACTGAGAATCTCCATAGACATTCAGCATTTTGGGATGAACCCCCTTCGAAGGGTGAGGGAGGATGAACGGATTTCCAGAAAACTTTGCAGACTGCAGGAACCGTTTGCGCTTCAGTTTGAGATGCAGACAACCCAGACTCTTCCACAACAGCCTGTGCCTGTCTCCAACAAGGAAGGGACCCAGGGCAGAAAACATCCTGCAGCCAAGAAGGCCTCACACCCATTTGCACCACTCAGGTGACCCTGAGGACACAGGTAAACTTCCAAATGGCTTTGACGTCTCTCTAAAAGGATGCAAATGACCAGCTGTCTGCAAGGAGTATAAATCCTTCCATTTCCCACCATCCAGTCAGAGCTGGAGAAGCTCCTTGCATGAGAAGCGAAACATCTTCAAAGGAAAAACAGTTGCCTCCTGGAAAAGCACCTTTGGATCTGGGAATTAAAGCATCCTAAACATTGTGTTTCAGCTATAATTTTAATAAATAAAGGCTTGGAAACAAAATGGAGTTCCTGGGTCCAGAAAACACATTGGATAACTACATTTCCCACCCTGTAATACTGTACTTTTTTGTTATTTTGAAGACACTATACCCTGGGTAGCAAAGTGGACTGAAATGGCAAAAGATGCATTCCTTAAGACAGGTGCAGGGTGTGGTCATAAAAATGAGGTGGTTTCTTTTTTATCAGCCTGCTACAAAGACTGTGTTTGGTAATCATGCTATTTATAGGTGTGTATTTATAAGCTTCTACGTCACGCCAGAATAAGCGGGAGGTAAGATGAATGATCAGTTATTAGATTGTTGGCAATCCCTGGCGCGCGGCATGCATTGTGTGAATCCAGTCAATTGTGGCTAAGTGAGGGGTGACTTCTTCTCCCTCTTTCATGCCTTCTGCGCTCACGGCTGGCGTGAAGGAAAGAAAGGAACAAGGGCTGGGGAGACAGCTTGAGGTATTACACACAGCAAATGACGTGGGAGGAGGGAAAAAATGTGTTTCCAGCCTGATCAGTTGCCACTGGTAACCCTGCACCCCCGGCAGTGACTCTGACAATGCTTCCCATTTTGCCAGCTTGAGAATCAGAGCCACAGAGCTGGAAGAAACCTTGGAGGTCATCTAGTCCAACCCCCTGCTCAAGCAGGAGACCCTAGATCATTTCAAACAAATGGCTGTCCAGTCTCTTCTTAAAAGCCTCCAGTGTTGGAGAAGCCACAAATTCTGGGGGCAAGTCGTTCCACGGCTTGCAGGCAGTCTTCGACTTACAACAGTTCGCTCAAAGTTACAACTGCACTGAAACTAGCGACTTATGAAAACGGTCGTAATCCACTTTTTTTCTGCAGTGCCGTTGTGACTTTGAACGGTCATTAAACGAACTGTTGTTAATTGAGGACGACCTGTAGGCTTCCCAAATGTATGCAGCTTCTTTACTGCGGCTGGGAAGGAGGAAAAGTCAGAGGACACTGGAGAAGACCAGCGTTGAAAGATAAGGAGGAGCTGCTTTAGAGCAAAGGAACCGCTTGGGTGGTGGTGTTTAAGGTATGATTCATAGACCAAGTGAGGAAAGGACGCAGGATCCTCCTTCTTTTCCCCTTAGGACTTTGAAAAGAGTCCCATTATGGATCTAGCATGATGAGTGCTCCATAAATACCGGAAGGTATTACAGTCTCACGCTTGATAAATGGCCCAGGGTGGTGAAAAAGCAAACTTTTTATCTACTGCTTATCACACAAAGCCTATTGACTGATAACAAGGTGACCTATTCATGGCCTTAGGAGGGGAAAGAGGTTTCCTGAGAAATTAGGGCTACGGAGTTTATCAGTGCAATTATTTTTTTCAAGGAAAGGAGTCTCCAAAGAGGCCTGGGTTTGCGGTAGGAACATTACGAGGAAGGGAGTTGGTCGAGAACACAACAGATACAGGATGCTTTTATCAAGTATCTCCAGGGCTACGGTTGACAACCGTCTGCAACTAAGTCACCTGGCGAGATTAATAAAAGCAGTGCATGGAGGTGAGCCAGGAGGAGATGGAAAACCCATCTTGGTTTTTTTTCTCAACCCCACCCTCTTTTTGCGTGCCTTGCCTACATTTTTCTCCTCCTCGGGTAGGCAAGGACAAAAGGAGATTGCGGTGTGCTGAACAGGCTGCAAGCAGCAGGTTGCGGAATCAAGCAGAGGCAGTCAGGTGTGACCTTAAAGGTGCAGGTTACCTGCTGCTGCCAAACACATTGGGCTGGTTCCAGGCGAGCTTCCTCTCCCGAAACTCTAGATCAGGTGCTGGATGTGCACCTGGTTCAGACCAGGATGGGAAAAACCAAAAACACCAACCTCAGCAATTTGAAGATGGGTGGACTCCAAATGCCAGCGAGAATTGTGGGAGCTGAAGTTCCTACATCGCCTCAGCCAGAATTCTGAGATTTGAGGTCCACATATCCCCAGACAGAATTCTGGGAGTTGAAATCCACATCGCCCTAGCCAGAATTCTGGGAGTTGAAGTCCATTCATCCCCATCCAGAATTCTGGGAGTTGAAGTCCATTCATCCCCATCCAGAATTCTGGGAGTTGAAGTCCATTCATCCCCATCCAGAATTCTGGGAGTTGAAGTCCATTCATCCCCATCCAGAATTCTGGGAGTTGAAGTCCATTCATCCCCATCCAGAATTCTGAGATTTGAAGTCCATTCATCCCCATCCAGAATTCTGGGAGTTGAAGTCCATTCATCCCCATCCAGAATTCTGGGAGCTGAAGTCCATACATCCCCATCCAGAATTCTGGGAGNTTGAAGTCCATTCATCCCCATCCAGAATTCTGGGAGTTGAAGTCCATTCATCCCCATCCAGAATTCTGGGAGCTGAAGTCCATTCATCCCCATCCAGAATTCTGGGAGTTGAAGTCCATTCATCCCCATCCAGAATTCTGGGAGTTGAAGTCCACACACCCCCAGCCAGAATTCTGAGATTTGAAGTCCACATATCCCCTGACAGAATTCTAGGAGTTGAAATCCATATCGCCCTAGCCAGAATTCTGGGAGGTAAAATCCACATATCCCCATCCAGAATTCTGGGAGGTAAAGTCCACATATCCCCATTCAGAATTCTAGGACTAGAAGTCCACCTGTTTTAAGATTACCAAGCTATTCACTAATCTGAATGGCTCTGACTAACAATGGCTGTACGGGAAGGAAGAAACAAACTACTCACTCTGTGTAAGGGTGACGGTGGTTGCGGCAGCGGTAATGGGTATTTCCGACGTATGGGGGCCGGTGCAGCTTCCCGCGGGCAAGCTGATGATGGTGGCTTCTCCCAGCAGGTTACAGATGCGCTGCTGCATGGGGGTGAGAATCACTGGGGCAGCGGAGGTCCCTGTCGCGTCTTCTTCCGCGTCCTGGCCTTCCCCGCCTCCTTCCTGGTCATTGCCACCATCTTCTACAGCGGCTCTGACTTGGGCCACCTTGCGCCGCACCTCCGTCTTGAGGTCCGACCACTTCTTCTTCACTTCCGGCAGCTCCCGGCGGCAGGTGGCCACCGCGTTGACCCGTCGCAGGATGTTGTGCCAAGCGGCGGCCTTGACGGTCAGCGGCACGCCAGCGTTGAAGTGGTTGATGAGCAGGTGCTTGCTCCGCTCAAGTTCTTCGACGATGATCTCCACCTCCCGCTCGGAGAAGTTCATCTTCCGTTTTTTAGCCGGTGGGGCCGGAGGAGACGACATGGCTGTAGGAGGGCCCGAGGATGAAGACCACAAGCCAGATCAGGGGTCTTGAGACGAAGTCCAGGGGACGGAGCCTGCGAAAAGAAAGGGGATCATGTTGGAAAAAAACAGACCCAGGGGGCCAATTTTGGAGCAAGTTATCCTATTCTGGAAGGAAGCAGAGAGATTTTCTTATGCATGGATGCAAAATTCAACCAAAGGGCTGATAAACAGAGCCAGTGAAGTATTTATAAGCCACAAGACTGAAGGTAAATGGCAAAACGTAAGTAAGCACAAATTATATTTTGGTTAACGCCAAGCAGAAACTAGCTCTCCAAATTAGCGTGCTCCTTTTTGAAGAAAATTACAGAGGACCATGGGGAAGATGGGTGGTGTTTTAGGACCAATACAGAAGCTAAATGAGAAGGCATCAAGAGGGTGGACACAACGGCAAATACAAGGAGCGTTTAAAGGACTCTGATGCTGTTCAGGTGGTCCTTTTGAACAAACTTACCTAGGATAGCATCTCATTTGGTATTTTTGGACTTGGAAGTCCAGAAATCAGGGTTAGGTTTGTGCCAAAAGGGGAGCCAGAGAAGGCAGGTTGAGATTTAGGATGGCATTTTGGAATTGGACCATCTATCTCTAAGGCTAATGGGAAAATGGGACTCTCCCAATGGGACATTTGGGAGTCTCTGAAATAGGGAACTACATGGAAAAATCCCACACAACTGTAACAGCCTTTAGTTAAAATAAAAAGGGGAAAAAATGAATAGCAATAAGGCCGACCACCGTCATTTCTGAAGCATGAAAAAAGGAATGGATTCTCTAGTTATACACTGGTAAATTCATTTTGGGGGGGGGCAGGAGTGGGAAAACGGCCCCTTTAAAGGATTGATTGATTGATATAAATGCATTTGATTGATTGATATAAATGCATTTGATTGATTGATATAAGTGCATTTCTCCTAGAATTCCTGAGGAAGGCAGCCCAAAGAAATCTCAATAATTTTAAATTTTTGAGGGGAGGGAAATGAGGAAAATTGAATTATCCTTCAATTACAGGGATAAAAGAGGGGAGGTTTGAATTCATCTAATTTTCATTTCACGAGTTCCTTTTCTCAATTTAATTTCCCAGGAAGGGAAAAGAAGCCTCAATAATTATGATAAATATTAAATTTTTTGAGGGGGAGGAGGGGAAAATAGACATTAGGAAGCCTTGGTGGCTTCAATTTCAGGGGTGAATTTGGGGAGGGGGGAAAGGCGGCCATTGGTGTCATTTGCATTCTGGCAGAAAAGTTAATTCTAACTTAGAAATTCTAATTTATAATTTTTTTTCACCCCCTCCCGCCAAAATAAAAGGAAGTGGGGGGGGTCAGGGGGAATTATGGGGGGCTCAGCGAGGGGGCTTCAGGCTTCGGGCCTGGTGGGAGAAAAGCCCCTCAACATAGCCTTGGACCCCCCCCAGCGGCCCCCCCCGCCAACCCGCCATTTCGTGCCCCCCCCGCTCTTCCCGCCGTCCCCTTTCCCAGCAGGCGAGGAAAGGTACGCAAATTGCGTACCCCAACTACCCGGCGACACCCGCCCCGCAGAGAGTCTCTAGTTTGCGGCAGTGGCGTAATGGCTTCCAGAATCGGCCCCCTCGTGCCCCTGCTTCTCATTGGCGCAGCTCTTTGCCCATTAGGGGTCAGAGCCCGCCCTCTCCCTCCATCCCTCCCTCCCTCCCCGCGCCTCGCGCGAAAGGCCCCCTCATCCGGGGGAGCTTGAAGCCGATTGGCGGAGAACGCGGGCGCTCCGCCGGCCGCTATTGGCTCCCGGCGTCGTCCGTCCAAGCGAGAGTGTTTGGATTACTTGGCAACCCAATCCCGCCTCTCCTCCAACGGCCGCCCGTTCTTTCCTGTGACTCGGATTGGGTGTCCTTCCGCCGGCCAATAGGGGGCCGTTTGCGCACCGCCTCCAATCGCGTGGCGGGAAGACGAGGAGGAGGACGAGGAGGGGGAGGAGGGGGAGGAGCAAAGCAGACAACGTCTTTCCGTCCTCCCTGTGATTCTCGCGAGATGTCCTCCTCTCCCTTCGGATTGGCCCAGTTTAGAGAAGAAGCGGCGCCGTCGGGCAATGAGAAGGCGGTGCGCCCTCCGGGGAGGGCGGGACTTCGCCTCAGAAAGGCCACTTCCGCCGGGCGGGCGGGCAGTTCCGCTGAGAGGCGGGGCGCGGGCGGTGTGTGGCGGTTATGCCGGCTGGGGCGCGGCGTTCGCTGGCTTCCCCGGCGGTGGTGAACGGCGTGCTTTGCCAGTGCGGCGGGGTCTCCGCGTCCCCTTCCTCCCCTTCGGCCTCGTCCCCCTCCGGCGAGGCCGCGTCCCGGTTCCTGGCCGAGCACGAGCGGCGCCTCTACAGCCTCTTCCTCCAGCTGGACGTTAACCGAGACGGCGCGCTCTGCGTCCACGACCTGGCCGTCGGGCTGGAGCGCCTCGGCCTGCACCGCTCCGAGCGGGACCTCTGGGTGAGTCTCTCTTCACCCCCCCGTCCCCCAGCGTTATTATGAGGGGGCCCTGACATGGATTTTGCCTTTTATTTTTATTTGTTATTTGTATTTTATTTATTATATAGATATAGATATAAGGGACACACACACACACACATACATATATATACACAAACATATATGTGTGTATGTATATATGTATACATTTAGGCAAGAAAAACCAATTGCACAAGTACAGCATAGGTGGCACCTTGCTCAATAGTAGTAACTGTGAGAGGGACCTCGGAATCCTAGTGGACAATCACCTAAATAGGAGCCAGCCGTGTGCTGCAGCTGCCAAAAAGGCCAACACAGTGCTGGGCTGCATTAACAGAGGGATAGAATCAAGATCACGCGAAGTGTTAATACCACTTTATAACGCCTTGGTAAGGCCACACTTGGAATACGGCATCCAGGTTTGGTCACCACGATGTAAAAAAGATGTTGAGACTCTAGAAAGAGTACAGAGAAGAGCAACAAAGATGATCAGAGGACTGGAGGCTAAAACATATAAGGAACGGTTGCTGGAACTGGGTAGGTCTAGTTTAACGAAGAGAAGGACGAGGGGGGACAGGATAGCAGCGTTCCAGTATCTCAGGGGCTGCCCCAAAGAAGAGGGAGTCAAGCTATTCTCCAAGGCGCCTGAAGGCAGGACAAGAAGCAACGGATGGAAACTAACCAAGGAGAGAAGCAACCTAGAACTAAGGAGAAACTTCCTGACAGTGAGAACAATTAACCAGTGGAACAACCTGCCTCCAGAAGCGGTGAATGCT